TTTTTTTTTGGGTTTTTTTTTTTCGGGGCCGGGGTTGCCGACCCCTGACCCCCGGGACCCCCGCCGGGGCCCCGGCCCCGGGGGTCGACAACCCTGCTGCAGGCCCCTGTTTTCAGGCTCTCGGCCTGAACAGTCACGGGGCCTGTAGGACTTGGTTTTCAGGCTTTCAGCCTGAGGGACGCAGGGCCTGGAAAATGGCCCTCTTGTGCAGGCGCAACATGTAACACCCCCCCCTCCTTATGAAGTCAAGCCGGGGCGAGGGCGGAGCCGACGATCTGAAGGTGGAACCTGGACGTGGGCGTGGCGTGGAGCCGAAGAAACCGGCTTGCCTCGCATCTTGCGTTCGTAGCGTGCGAGAACGTCTGGAGCTGTTGCTTGAAGTTGCGCACGGGTCAACCAACGGTCCGCTCGGTGTGTGCAGTATGCAAAATGCACTAAATACTCGATTGGCCTGTTGCGGTAGCGTCGCTGGGAGATGATGTCGCCGACCTCCTGAAAACCATCCATGGAGGGTGGGTCTTGCGAACGTCTCCCGGGAAAATCRTCATGTTCCGCTGGCGTGTAAAAAGCCAACTTGGAGCAATGAAAGATTGGGTAGACGGGCAAGTGGCCGGGTCCCTGAATCGTGAAGGAAGGTCCCTCATGTGCGTCCCTAGCGGGTGCCACGATCGGCCAAGGCCCCATCCAATTCGGGAGGAGCTTGCGAGAGATGTCTTGTTCAAGGCTGAATTTCGCTGCGGAAACCCACACGAGGTCGCCTGCGCGAAATGGGATCGCGTGCCTTGACAAGAAGCTCTTGCATCCGACACAAGAAAAAAAGATGGTCGTCGTTCTCGGCCGTTCGTGGAGTAATAGTGTCCAACAGTGACGTGACCGGCGAGCCGTGCTCGAACTCGAAAGGCGATATCCTGATAGCCAGGTGGATGGAAGAGTTGTAGGCCAACTCGACATCCGGCAACAGCTCAACCCAGTTGTCCTGTTCCAGACGAATGAGAGTGCGAAGGAGAACCTGTGCGGTCTGTTGCGCCCTCTCCGTTTGGCCATCGGTCTGAGGGTGGCGAGCTGAACTGGGCTTGAGAGATGAGCCCCATCGCTTGATAAGCGCCAACCAAAAATCGGACATGAACCGGGTGTCGCGGTCGCAGACGATCTCCTTGGGGTAACCCTTGGTTCGAATCCAACCTGCGTAAAGAACCTCGGCCAACTCTGGTGCCTTGGCATGATAGGGACAAGGCAAGAACATGGCGAACTTGGTGAGTCGGTCGACCACCGTGAGAATCCCATCCACTCCGGTCTTGTGCTTGGGGAACGGGCCAGTAATGTCCATGGCAATCGCTTCCCTTCGCCTCAGCGGGACCGGTAATGGTCGTAACTCGCCGTACGGACGATGGTTGCGGGATTTGCAGCGGCGGCAAACCTCGCATGACTCGCAATAGCACGTGACGTCGCCGAGAAGGCCGGGCCACCAAAATCGCTGGCGAAGTCGGCCAATCGTGCGATTGACTCCAAAGTGTCCGGTGGCGGGAGCATCGTGGAACTCGCCAAGAAGCCGTGTACGCAAGTGAGGATCACTCGGTACACAAAGAAGGTCCTTCCCCCGCGTGTGGACAAGCAAGTACCCCTCTTGGATCCGGTAGTGAGACGGCGCCGAATCAGGAGAGGAGCAATTCGCGTACTTGTCGCGAAACTCGCGGTCGGCTTGGTAGCCGCGGATGAAGCTGTTCCGCAGGTCATCGTCGATCTCGAAGGTTGAGTAGACCGCGGTACAAAGATCCGGACGCCGTGAAAGAGCATCCGCAAAACGGTTCGACTTCGTGGGAATGTGATCGGGAAAGAAGTCGAACTGGTCGATGAAAGCCATCCATCGAGCAATGGTGTTGTTGACAGTGTCTTGGGTCTTATAGAAGACCAACGGGTTGTTGTCCGTTACCCATCGAAATTGGCTTCGACCGAGGAGGAAGTGCCGCCACCGCTTGAGCACGTGGACGAAGGCGAGGAGCTCCTTGCGTGCATCGTCAATGGAATGCACGACGGACACTTTTTTGCTGAAATACTTGACCGGGTGCCAGTCCACAACATCATGTTGCTCAAGGATTGCACCAATGTCATAGCCTGACGCATCCGTAGTGACGCGCGTAGGCAAAAGCGGGTCGTATATCCGCAAGACCTCCGCAGATAATAGCGCGGCTTTGAGAGCCAAAAATGATTCCCACGCCTCCTCTCCGAAGTCAAACGACCGATCCTCGCATTGAAGCTTGGTCAAGTGGGCCGCGATCTTCGAGTAACCTTTGATGAAACGCTGATAGTAGCCGGCGGGACCAAGAAACGAGCGGAGATCCGTGACGTTCCGAGGCTCCAACCACTCTTGGATGGCTTGGATCTTCTTCGATAGCGGACTGATGCCCTCCGGTGTGACAAAATGGCCCAAGTATTCCAGCTCTTGCCGGACAAATTCACACTTGTCGCGGTTGGCCTTGTACTTGGCGCGGCGGAGCGTCTCCAACACTCGTCGAAGATGTCCAAGATGATCCTCCAATGACCGGCCATAGACGAGAATATCGTCTAAGTAGACCAGCACGAACCGGTCCAACATTGCACGGTTCTCATTGGTCATTGCCGCTTGAAAGGTCGCCAGGGCGTTGGTGAGGCCAAAACGCATGACCACCCACTCAAAATGCCCGTACCGCGTCTTGAACGCGGACTTGTAGCGATCGCTCGGCCGGATCGAGATTTGATGATATCCCGATTTCAAATCCAACTTAGAAAAATACTTTGCGCCGCCCAGTCGCTCAAGAAGGTCGTCGATGCGAGGAAGAGGCCCCGCATTCTTGACGGTTTGCGCATTGAGCTTGCGGTAGTCGATACACAATCGTAGATCTTTGTTCTTCTTCCGGACGAAGAGAACCGGTGCTCCATATGGGGAGCTGCTAGGGCGGATCCAACCCTTGGTCAACAAATTGTCGAGTTGTGCGCAAAGGACCTCAAGCTCCTCCTCGCTCATGTGATAGATGCAACCTTTCGGTGGCACGACACCGGCCTCAAGAATGATCTCGTGAGAGATCGGTCGATCCGGCACCACACCGATAGGTGACTCGAAGATGTCGGTGAACTCGTCCAGCAACCGCACCACCCGGGGGTCCGAAGACAAGTCCGTGGGTGAAGCGTCGGCTACCGTGACCGTCCGTAGGAAACATAGGCCGATTTCCTTGGGCTGCTCGTAAGTGCAAGTCGCCCGGAATGATTTGGCCGTCACCACTTGGCACCGGATCGAAGGGTGAGGTAGAGGAATAGTACACGCCACTTCCGCGCCGAAGGCATCGCGAACACTAAGAGTCCGCCGGTGGAAGTTGACCGTGCGATCCGCACTTGCAAGCCAAGGCATTCCCAGAATGATGTCGAAGTCCGTGTCGAGAATATCGAATGTCACCGGTTCGCATGCACGAGGTGCGAAATAAACCTGTACGACCTCGATGTATCGGTCGAGAAGTTGTTGCGTTTTCCCATCCGCCAACTTGATCGCCGTCGGGTTTGCCTTCCTCCGAACTTGTGTGCCAAGGCCAGCCCTTTGCAGAAAGGATTGGCTCATGAAATTGCGAGACGCGTCGCTATCCAGCAAAGCGCTGCAGGATGCTTGCCCAACTTGAATGCGGACATACATGAGCAGTGCGTTGTTGTCATCGTACCGCTGCGTGCAAAACTCACGGGCCACCTTGGTAGTATACGACAGGATGTCCCCCACCGCGACTTCGTCATCCGTCGGCAAAGTTGGTGGTGCATAGAAGGATAGTGTTGCGCATTGCGGTCTCGACAAACGGCCTGTGGTCGGGAGAGGAAGCCATGCAAAGTCCTCGGACGTGAGCGGGTCCAATACCTCTATGTTGAACTCGCGCGTCGATTCCCTTGAAGAACCACTTGAAGACGACATGTCGCCGCTGCTGGACGGAGAAGAAACCGCACACACCTCTTGTCCTTGAGCTTGAGTACCCAGCGTAGGAACGAGTCGGGCAACATAGTCCTCAAAAGAAAGTAGAAGAGGAGGACTATCGACTTCCGCGTGCGCCTCGGGATGAAGGCCGGTTACTCGCGAAGAAACCGGTTCCGGAGGCGTCGAGAGTGTTGTCGAGTCACTCTCGGAGGTGCTAAGTTTCCCTGTTTGCCCTTGCCTTTCAATAGGCAGACCAGTGTTTGATGAAGATCACTGTTGCACCATAGGCAATAGTGGAATCTCGTGCCCGCCTTGAATGCTAGCTCGGAGATGTCGTATTGGGTCCATGGGGCTGCTGGAGCTGCTGCACCGGGCCCGGGGCTAGATGCTGTGTGTGTCTTCGTCTTGCCGCGTCCTCGGCCTCTGCCGGGGCGGCCACCTTCCCGGGCGGCTGCGAGTCTGTCCCCTTCACTGGTAGACACAGCCTCGCTGGTTTGCTCAAACGGCGTTGCCGCTGCGACCACAACCACTCTTGGCCGATGCTGGTCCCTGCTCGGGCCTGTCGCAGACGAACGCAGATTCTTCGCCTCCTTGTTCGTAATGATGATCTGCGCGGCCTTGTCAAAAAGTTCCGCCGTTGTCGTCAAGGTGTCCTCGACGTGAGTCAGGGCATTAGTTAATGTCGGAAAGGACCTTGAGATGAAGTAATGGCGGATGGCTTTGAAGCCTATCTCGATGTCTGGGACTGACGTCAAGCGTTGGTACTCGGCGATCCAGTCGGTACTCGGTAGCGTGCCTTGTTCGAAGACCATGAGCTTGTCCATAGCCTTGATCTCCGGCGGCTCAACCTGGAACCGCTTGTGCCACGCCGCCTTTAGATCATCCCAACTGATCTTGGTGTGCAAGTCGACAGCTACCACTCCGTACTTGGACAAGAGGCACGCGCCCCTTGAGCGAGAGTACAAGTATGCGTGGTGCTTGTGTTCTTTGACGTTGTGTAGTTGCAGCGTGAGCTCGAACTTGCGGAACCATGGAATCGGATCTGTCTTGATCGAGTCGCAGAAGATCTCCTGCCCGTCAAACTTTGGAGCTGTCTCGCGCGGCTCTGAACTCGAGGTATTGGCGGTGGTACAAATCCGCTGCTGCAACTGTTGCGTCGCGGTCTGCTGTAACTGTGCACCGTCCTGGAGGGAGCCGACGTGCATCTCCAATGCTTCGAGGCGATCGGAGGTATTGGAAGAGCTTGCATCGGGTGCGGCGACAGGTCGCTGCTCCAGCTGCTGAAGGCGGCCTTGGACTTGAGCTAGCAAGTCGTCGAGGCTGTGGATATCCTCCTGCTGTGTAATGCAGGTTGCCAGGAGGTCTGTGAGATGCGAGAGGAGGAGAGCAATCTTGTTTTCACAATCCTCCAACCTGCCATTCTCGGCCTCGGTCAGCCATCCTGCTGCCATTGTAAGCAAAGTCTGCTGTCCGCTAAATATCTTCTCACGATGTTAGTTTCTTTCTTCATCGGCAGCCTTTGCTGCTGCCTCGTCATGCCGGCGCTGTTGTTCAAGTGCCAGAAGACGTGCCTGTTCGGCATCCTCTGCCTTCTTCTTTGCTGCTGCTGCCGCATCATCTGCCCGCTTCTTTGTTTCGGTACTCCAAGCCAGCATCTGGGCCTGATAGGCCTCGTCTGCTTCTCCGGACCTCTGGTCCATGACGGCTGTTTGTGACCGCAACAACATATACCAGGCCGGGGGCCTGCTGACGTGGCCAATGCCGCCGCAAGGGGTACCCGGAGATAGGTAGAGAAGGTAAGGCCAGAGGGGGCAACAACATAGATGGGGAGGGTGGGTGGGAAGAATCGCCCAGATAAGGAGCCACTAATCAAAAAAGAAAAGTTTGAACTTTGCAAAAAAATTCAAAAAATAAAAAAATTCCGGACTTTTGCAAGTTCAGTAGGTCTCCGAGCCTCCCTTGAAATGCGAAACTATCAATGAGAAAAAGTTTCGAACTTCGGACTGCAAATGACTTATAGAACTGACTGACAGAATCTTAGAACTGCGAAAAAAAAAATTCAGAAAAGAAAGGACAAGTATTCGGATTTTCTCAGATGAGAATATTCGCAGTTTGGAAAATAATACCTGCAGGAGGGATTTCCCGTACCGTTTTCAGAAAAACGAATTTCGAAAAAGAAAATATTCCGGATTTCTAAGTAACGGGAAATGCAACAGGAAATCGACATTTTCGAAAAGAAAAATATTTCGGATTTTTAACAACGAAATTTCGAATTTTCAGAAGAAAAACAAAAATGGAAATTTCAGATGTTGCGCTATTGCGATTTTCCACAGCAGAATAGCGAGAAAACAAAATCTAAGAAAATAAAAAAAAATTCGATTTTCGGTAGCAAGGTCGAAATCGTGATTTTGGGGTCTAACTAGTGTACTCTAATCAATCAATAAAGACTAATCAGCTGAGTACGGACGCCGCCCGACTGGGCGGGGCCCGGGCAAACCGGGCGGGCCAAAATGCCCTGAAAATGGCAGAAATATATATATATATATATTTTTTTTTGAGGGTGGGGTCCTATTGTGCTCGGCGAGAGGACCCCGAATCTACAATAAAATTTTGGTTTTGGGGGGGGCGGGGGGTTGGGGTGGGGGGGGTTTATGGGTGTTGGGGACTGTGCATGTATGTTGCCTGCTGTTTTGCTGCATGTGTGATACCGAGTATATACTAGGTTGGGGGCTCTGCGATGTCTCTGTGTTATAACAAGAAAGAGAAGAAGAAGAAGATGGACAAACAGATGAAGAAGAAGATGGACAAAAAGATGAAGAAGAAGACTGACGCACTGACGACAGGTATACAATTGTTTGACAGCAAAAAGCATATCGGCAGGATGATCAGCTGCATCTGGCCAATATTCATCGACAATGTAACAGACATCTCGCTTTGTCTCTTTCTGTCTGTCTGTCTCTCTCATCTCATCTCATCTCTCTCTCTCTCTCTCTCTCTCTCTCTCTCTCTCTCTCACACACACACACACACACACACACACACACGCACACACACACACACACACACACATATGCACACACACGCGAAAACGCACGCACGCACACACACACACACACACACACCCACACCCACACCCACACCCACGCCAATGTCGGTCATCAGTGCAACCCTCGTCTTCGACGAACTGCTTGCTGCAGTTGTCAGAATCGGGGTCGTCCTCGACAATCTTTGTGCAAGGCTTGCACTTCCGTTTTTTTTTTTTCGGCTTCATAGCCGGATTGGCAGTCTTGTTCTTCCGAGGCTTGCCACGTGGAAGTTTCGGCCTCGGCACATCGTCGACAGGGGGGGCCTTCCTCTTCCTCCCAACCTTGCTGACCCACAGGTTGTCCTGTTGGCTCCCCTCTAAGTTGTCTGGGAATTCGGGGGAATTCTCCGGCGACCCGGCAGGCTCCGCTGTTTTCTTCTGACGCTTGTACACGGTCGTCGGTGCATGCTGTTGCTGTTGCGGCTCCTCCTCGCGATGCGCCATCTCGTCGTGCTGCTGCTCCTCCTTGCTCTCTCCCACCCGTTCCGCATGTTGGTCCTCCAACCCCTCTTCTGGTTGGTCCGTGCCCTTCCCTTCGTCTTGTTCCATCTCCTCCTCTCGCTGCTCCATGCAAGCCTCTTCTTCTTCCTCCTCCATCTCTTCTTCTTCCTGTGCCAGGTGGACCATCTCGTGTTCTTCCTCCTTGTCTTGCTGGCCCATCTCCTCCTCTTCCACCTCGTCTTGCTGGCCCATCTCCTCCTCTTCCTCCTCCTCGTGCTGCCCCATCTCCCGCGCAGGCTCTGGTTCATGCTCTCCAACCTTCTTCTTTTGTTTCTGCATTTCTCTACGGGTTGGTACAGCTGCTCGCCGCTCCTCCTCCTCTCTCATTCTCCTTTGCACCCGTTCGCGATCCGCATCAGCCATTGCCTTCGCACGATCGGCCTCCGCCTCATCCGCGTCGATCGGACCAGGGCGAAGCACCATGTCAATGTCGGTGTCCGTCTGCGGTATCTCAACACCGGATTGGATGTCGTACTACGCACTTGTATTAGCCGTCCCTTGACATGGTGTTGTGGGCGGGCCTTCTCCGTGGCACTGCGTTGTTTGCCTCCTCCCAACATATGTGGTGCCCGGGATTGTGGGCTGCGCTCCTAGCTCAAAGTCATCGCTGGACCCGTCGTCTGCCTCCCCTTCGCTAGACGATTCCGACCATGGAGCCTTTCCCTCCCATATCTCGTCCTCCAGGTCGCTGTCGTCCGTGTGCTCCTCTTTATCATCTTCGAGGTTCTTCGGAATCCGGCCCTTTGTTAACTTGGTTAAGGCCCGTTCCCAGGCCTGTTCCTCCTCCGTTTTCCCCTTCTTCTCCTCGGGCACCGCCAAAAGAGGATCATCGCCCTCCTCCGCATCCGGAAGAGACTCGAAGAACTCCGCCCACAAATCGACGTAGTGATGGTCCTTAAAGTTTTTGCTCGCCCGCAACAGATTCATATTCCAATGAATGTACACAAGCTTCTCCACGGTCGCGGGCTTCAACCGATTCCGTCGCTTGGAGTGGACCAAGTCCATCGACGACCAATTACGCTCCGCCGGAGTTGCAGTGCTCCACATGCCCATCACTTTGATAGCGATGGCCTGCAACTTCGGCACATCGCCACCATATGTTGCCCACCACTCCGACGGCAAGATAATATCAGCATCCTCGACCGCATCCGGCTCCCACATCTTCTTGTCCTTCCGCTTGGGGTCATATGCGGTGGGTCGCTTGTGGAACTCGCGCAGGTCTTTCATTATATCCACGTGCGCCTTGGGCTTCCGAGGTGCGCCAATTTGCCTCTGCAAATAACACAGTGCGTTCTGCACAAGTGCGCTGTCCCGGTCCAGCAACCACTTCGGATCTCTCCTCCGCGGGTCGAGAAGAAAAGCCAGCGCGTGCACTGGTTGCCGCATCATCTTCATGCGGTCCCTCACCTTCTCCAGCACCGAACTTCGCTGCTCCGGTGTCAGCACAACCTCCGCCAGCATCCTCTCCATGAGTCGGTCGTACTCCACAAGGTTTGACGGTGCTGTCCCGTCCTTGTCCATCCTCCGCAGTAGGAGATACAACGGCTCCATCATCTCCACCACCTTCCTTAGCTCCGTCCACCAAGCATCCCTCTGCAGTGTGAAGTACACGAGATCCGCTTTCGCTTGCAGCTTCGCGCTCGACCACCGCATCGCCTTCCATTTCCCCACATTCATCGAGTCCACCATGTCCTTCAAAACTGCCCTCCGGTTGTGTATCCGCTCCAGCATCCGGTACACTGACCCGAAACGGACCTCGGTCGGTTGCAACAACGTCAATGATGAGTCCAAACTCATCATGAAACTGTTAGTCGTGTGGTGATTCCTGATGAATTTGACGATGGTGTGGCCCCGCTTCACCGTGCCCTTCACCCAGTCCAACTTGCTGATGTCCCTTAGCAGCAAGCTGCAGCAATGTGCAGCGCAAGGAACCCAAGGTATCCTTGCAACCGCAGGGTCCGTGCGCCGTTCCAAAATTTGAGCTGCTCTCTTGTTCACCTCCGCGTTGTCAGTGCATATCGCGTTGATGCGATGCAGCCCAATCTCCCTCATTATTTTCTCCCACGGTTTCGCCAACGCCGCTCCCGTCTTCTTCTTGCCGTCCATGTACACCGTCGCCACCAGAACAGCTCCCTGCTCCCCCACCGCTAAGAAGTTCATGACAGGCCGCTCCCTCCGATCGTTAGACCCGTCCGTGATGAAAGTGCAGCCGGTGACATCCCAACATTTTGTCAAAGGCTCCACTTGCTTTTGAATGCGCATGAAAATGAACTCCAGCGTGACAGTCCGAATGTGCTTCGAAGACGACAACTTCACCTGCGGTCTGGCGTTCGCCACCTCGAGGTACACGCTGTGCAGCTGCTGCGTGGTGTCGA